CAATATGCTGACTCTCTGTAAACCGCTTAGAGAGGCCTGAAAGGCCTATGAAGCGGTATATAAGTTTACTGCTATTGCTATTGCTATTGCTATGTCCTTCAGGAATTTGAGGTATCAACTAAAGTTAGGTAAATCTGGAAATTATTTGCCCACAACAAAAGACTAACAACCAAATCATCAGTTTTCAGATCATCATACAATTACTAAGAGGTGAAAACTAGATCTCAAGTATGACCACTTTCATGTATGAGGCCAAATATTATCTGGAATAAATCCATAGTTGCTATGCTACAAATTCATAAGCTTGGATCAAACTCCAACCCAAGGATTGAAAATTGAAGAATTTGTGGATAGTACACAATTAGAAAACCTTGTCCAGCGTCACAAACAGCATCATATCCTATTCAGTAAGACACAAAGTTACTGGCTTGTATTGATGGTTGAAAGTGGTCTATCAAGTTACATATGTATATAATAGAATACAGACCACACACTTGTGGAGAAAATGCTTGGATGAAGAATAAGATTTATAACATCATTTTTGCCAGGGTCTTTAACAGTTACCTGGAATATGTTACTATATATTACAGGGCTAATACAAAATGTGGTCTATATAACAAAAAATGTTAATAGCAATTGAAAATAAGCAATGGAGATCTATTCCTTTCATTTCTTTTTGTGCTCTTTTTTGATAACACTGCTGCTGTTTCTTTCAATTGTGATCATTTGCTTCTGCATTTTGAGCCGCTTTTATTTTCAAAACATCTTTTTATGTACAGTATTAGCCACCTCAGGAAATTCTGCAATTAAAAGACTGAGTTTTTTTACAGAGATGTGAAGTAACAACCGTACTGTAGCTATATATAAATCTCCTGTAAAATAAGCCACATAATCTAGATTGTATTCAGAAATTTATTTTTATTTTTTTTTCTGTATCTTTTATCTTTTTTCTATAAAATATTCAAGATGTCTTAGAGTAAATCAATTTTTTTGACCCTGCTCATATTATAATTCTGGCAACAGCAGTTCATTTCAGTCAAATTGCTGTATATTTAGGTTACCTACTTCTTTTTAAATGCTAATGAGACATATTTTGAATTCTCTTGACACTGGTATCTTTCTTTTTAGTTGAATTCCTAAATTTCCTGGTATAATTACTTATTTCAAATGTTAGCACAATGGGAAGAGAGTTTTTCTATTGACCTGCCTATGGCATCTGTCAAATGTCTCCTCCCCTTTCGATGACTAATGCCATGCTGCTGTGATCTGTCTGTATGTTTCTTTTATGGTTTCTTTATCAGTTTGAAAAGGGAAGATTGGAAATAAATAAAGTAAGCTGAAAACAATTCCTTGAAATTTGACTTTTGTGATACAAACATCTCCAGGTGCTCCACCAACCACGACACCAGAGAAGGGGTGGGGAGTGGCAGCTATTATCCGAGAGTCATTGGTTCCTCGCAGGATCCCTGCTCCAGAGACTGTCGGGTGTGAGTCTCTTCTTGTGAAGCTGGACCTAGGGGGTCAAGTGGGCTTGTTTTTGATGTCCCT